ACTCTATAAAACAATCGTCCCCGAGTAGTTCGCACATGTTGGTGATCTTAGAGAACAAACAATCTGGTTGTTGCCATTCAGGCCACGTTTAAAAACATTAGTCAAAGTATATTTCAGCATGCTGAATGCTGACATCTAGTGGAATAGAAATATACAGAAACGAAATAAACTGCACTAAAAGTTTGTTGAAATAATACTTACCGTATTTGCAATAAATCTCATACGACTGTAAAACTTGTTTATTTCCCCTTTAAATGGGTCAAAAATTGTAGGAAAAATACATTTGTGGGTTGAGCGGCAGATTTGAGTATGTGAGTTGCACCCATTAAAAATTTGCCAAAATTTTCTCTGCCATTGCCCAACAGCTTATTCTGCTATTGAGTCTTGTTTCAAGTTTCTTTTTGAGCTTCAGCTGCCTGACTAGCAACACCTGTGAGCATGGACCCTGTTATAGCGTCACTTGTTGTCTGCTCCAAGTATGCCATATTTGACTGATCTGGATAGGTCTCGTGCCATAGGATAACTTCAAGCTGGTGTTCTGTGAACACAAGTTGCAGCATTACTTGGAGTCAGAGCAAGTACCATCTCCAAATTGAAGACCAAGTTTCAGATAATGGGAGATGTCACAGGCAGGCCGCAAAGTGGGTGTTCTAAAAAGATGACACCACAGGATGACTGGTTCCTCACCCTGTCGGCACTTAGGAGCAGTAGGCAGTCTTTTACAGATTTTTCAGAATGAGATACTGAGACAATCTGGAACAGACTGCACACAGCCAATGTTCCAACTCACAGGGCTGCAAGGAGGCCTACTATGACTACTCTTCACCATCAGGCCTGTTTGCGCTGCTGTCAGGAACAGAGATGGGCAGTAATGCATTACTGTAATCTGATTAGTTTTTTCAATTAACAAGTAATGTAAGGGATTACTATTGCAAAAAAGTAATGAGATTACTGTTATTTTCCTATAAGCACGCTGCGTTACTGCATAAACTGTCATGATTTTGTTTGTGAGAGTGTCTCATGACAATGATGTAAGCACGTGCGATGCCTGTGGCAGCAACAGACATTAGAACGACCATGCAGCGTTTAAAGCATGGAAGTACTTACTTCCATGTAGTTATGGAACTACTTGATTAGATTTATATTTTGCTGTGTTTTACTTGCATCTATTTAAAAGAGTGAGTGTAAACACGAAACATTATTTTTATTTTATATGCTGGAATATGCAGAAAATAGGTTTAAATGTTAAACAATTTCTTCAAGTCAAAAACAGCTGCATATAATTAAATTTTTTGCTTAATGCAATGTGCATAAAATGAAAAGATTAAAACAAATAAAACAATTGTTAGAAAGAGGCTTTCCATTTGATTCAATGTTATATGACGGATTGTGCAGAGAAAATAGAATTGGGCTGAAAGGTCTATTGCTTTATTGTGTATTATGGTTATGTATCATGTTTTTGAAAAGTAACGAAGTAACGAAGTAACTAATTACTTTTGAAAATAAGTAATCAGTAAAGTAATGGGATTCCTTTTTTGGAGAAGTAATCAGTAATTAGTAACTAATTACTTTTTTCAAGTAGCTTGACCTACACTGAGTCAGGAAACATGTGGAGGAACGTTGAATCTGGATTCTGCCTACAGCAGCTAGATCGTACGTTCAGACTGTCATAGCTTTTGGTGGAGACAGTGTGATCATGTTTGGCAGCATCTCCCTCACTGAAGAAACAAGATTTGTCATAATTGGAGGCAATCTCAGTGCAGTTACATATCGTTAGCTTCATAGCATAAGTGCCTAAGTCATTTTTTTGTGTTTTCGGAAAACAAGAAAAAACTAATTTTCTAAATATCACATGCATATTTTTACATATCACATGCAATTTGACCAAAAAATGACTTAGGCACTTATGCTATGAAGCTAACGATATCAAGATGAGAGTTTGCAACCAGCGATAATCCCATGTCTCTAAGTTCTGGGACCAAAACCTATCCTCCAAGATGACAAAGCTCAGTTTATCAGAGACTACCTCCAGAATTTATAGGGAGTGCAGAATTATTAGGCAAATGAGTATTTTGTCCACATCATCCTCTTCATGTATGTTGTCTTACTCCAAGCTGTATAGGCTCAAAAGCCTACTACCAATTAAGCATATTAGGTGATGTGCATCTCTGTAATGAGAAGGGGTGTGGTCTAATGACATCAACACCCTATATCAGGTGTGCATAATTATTAGGCAACGTCCTTTCCTTTGGTGATTTTCATGCAGGACAATGCTCCATCACATGCGTCCAAGTACTCCACAGCGTGGCTGGCAAGAAAGGGTATAAAAGAAGAAAAACTAATGACATGGCCTCCTTGTTCACCTGATCAGGTGTGCATAATTATTAGGCAACGTCCTTTCCTTTGGCAAAATGGGTCAAAAGAAGGACTTGACAGGCACAGAAAAGTCAAAAATAGTGAGATATCTTGCAGAGGGATGCAGCAGTCTCAAAATTGCAAAGCTTCTGAAGCGTGATCATCGAACAATCAAGCGTTTCATTCAAAATAGTCAACAGGGTCGCAAGAAGCGTGTGGAAAAACCAAGGTGCAAAATAACTGCCCATGAACTGAGAAAAGTCAAGCGTGCAGCTGCCAAGATGCCACTTGCCACCAGTTTGACCATATTTCAGAGCTGCAACATCACTGGAGTGCCCAAAAGCACAAGGTGTGCAATACTCAGAGACATGGCCAAGGTAAGAAAGGCTGAAAGACGACCACCACTGAACAAGACACACAAGCTGAAACATCAAGACTGGGCCAAGAAATATCTCAAGACTGGTTTTTCTAAGGTTTTATGGACTGATGAAATGAGAGTGAGTCTTGATGGGCCAGATGGATGGGCCCGTGGCTGGATTGGTAAAGGGCAGAGAGCTCCAGTCTGACTCAGACGCCAGCAAGGTGAAGGTGGAGTACTGGTATCATCAAAGATGAGCTTGTGGGGCCTTTTCGGGTTGAGGATGGAGTCAAGCTCAACTCACAGTCCTACTGCCAGTTTCTGGAAGACACCTTCTTCAAGCAGTGGTACAGGAAGAAGTCTGCATCCTTCAAGAAAAACATGATTTTCATGCAGGACAATGCTCCATCACACGGGTCCAAGTACTCCACAGCGTGGCTGGCAAGAAAGGGTATAAAAGAAGAAAAACTAATGACATGGCCTCCTTGTTCACCTGATCTGAACCCCATTGAGAACCTGTGGTCCATCATCAAATGTGAGATTTACAAGGAGGGAAAACAGTACACCTCTCTGAACAGTGTCTGGGAGGCTGTGGTTGCTGCTGCACGCAATGTTGATGGTGAACAGATCAAAACACTGACAGAATCCATGGATGGCAGGCTTTTGAGTGTCCTTGCAAAGAAAGGTGGCTATATTGGTCGCTGATTTGTTTTTGTTTTGTTTTTGAATGTCAGAAATGTATATTTGTGAATGTGGAGATGTTATATTGGTTTCACTGGTAAAAATAAATAATTGAAATGGGTATATATTTGTTTTTTGTTAAGTTGCCTAATAATTATGCACAGTAATAGTCACCTGCACACACAGATATCCCCCTAAAATAGCTAAAACTAAAAACTACTTCCAAAAACATTCAGCTTTGATATTAATGAGTTTTTTGGGTTCATTGAGAACATGGTTGTTGTTCAATAATAAAATTATTCCTCAAAAATACAACTTGCCTAATAATTCTGCACTCCCTGTAGTGATTGAGATGCAATCAAGAGGGTGGGAATTGTTGTGGGATTTCTCTTTAGCGTATTGTCCTTTAATGTATTGTCTTGATGAAATGCTTTCATGTTATTTAGTTTAGTATGTCTGGTTCACACCTCATTCACGCTGGGAAACAGACGGTGAGAAACTGGTGAATGTCTCCCAGGAGACGGAAGCTCACACAGGAAGACTTGACCCCAGAGTGGGGGAGATTCACACAGGTGATAGAGAGTTTTCTGTTTAGAGCCAAGGTGTGAACTGCAACTGTAAAAGCCTTTTGTTCCGTGACAGTGTTTAAAAGGGACCTGAACTGTTCATTGTCAGAGACGACTTTCAGTGCCCCGTGACTGACGTCTCTCCTCATTCATGGGAAATAAAGTGTTGGGTTTTAACTGCTCATTGTGTCTGCAGGCTTTGTTAATAAATTTCCACAACAGCTGTCAGCTGTCTGTTGTTTACAGCAGCAACAGAAGTTACTAAAGAATGCAAAAAGGGGTAATGTGTGACAAAGGACCCATTGTTTAAACCAACAGCACAATCATTGATAACATTAACAACAATATTCATGTGTTGTTGAAATATAACAGCTGAGTTGAATAAACCAAAAGGTATGATTTAAAGGCCAGAAGGAGCGATAAAGGCTGACAGACCAATAACTTTGTCTATCAGGCAGACAGGCCACCTACTCCCTTTTCCTTGTCACTCTTCCTTGAACTTAGTAGAAAATGTCATGAGTTTAAGGAAGACTGTGTAGGAGAATTAACTATCGTTTATAGTTAATTTGTTGTTGAAAATTTAACATGTATCAGCAGGATATGGAAATATACTTCTAAAGAACATTTCATGATCTGCAATACTTTGGCATATTTATTGATTGTCTTCGCGAACAGTGTGAGGGTGCATGGCTATGAATTGTGGAACAGAATTATCTTCTTTCCTGTCATAAAGAATGGTTTCATGTGTTCTCTGGTAAATAAGTTATTAAAGAAAGCATTTAAGCACTTTTCCTAAAAATTTAGGGAATTTTACCCAGCTCTTTTTATGGACTACCATGCAGATAATACTGGGTCACTTTACTTAGAAATAGAAACTTTCATGATATCCTTTTGTGTCGAGCTGACATTTTCTTCTGCGCCTCCCATAACCATCTGTAAAACTCCTACAGTTTGCTTCAAAGGCGGGGTTCTTCCTGTTTACCTGCATTCCTGCCTGCCACACCTAGAAGCTGATGGTAATCAGCTCACCTCTGTGCAACTGGTTCCTTTACAGCTGACGAAATCCCTCACTTCTGGGAAAAGGAGTATAACCTGGAATATTAAGGGAGACATGGAGCAAACAAGAGGAGACAGGCTGAGGAGACAAGGATGAAACACAAGGAGAGGAACAAAGGAACAGGTAAGTGAGACAGAGACAGAGAGAGGGATTGAGACACATAGGGAGATCACAAACAGGAAAAAAAATCAGACAGAGAGGGAATAAACAAAGACATGACTGGGGAAACATAAACTCAGAGAACACGACAAACTCTCACAGGAACCACAGGGATGAGACAAAGACACAAAAGGAACCTGACTGTAGTAGAAATACAAATAAGCTCAAAGACATAGACTCAAAGAACCAAACTCAAGATTAAACTGTATAAAGCTTGAACTTAAATCATCTTCATAATGTAAAGGAAAGAATCATGAATTCAAAAATAAAAACCCAGCAAAAGAGACCAAAAAAACAAACCATGCTACAGATGCAAAAATACATGCAAATACATACTGAAGTCAGCTGGCCTCTTCCTGAACTTTGAAGTTGCTATTGATAATTACAAAACGACTCTTTGAAGCATCTAATATATGCATCTAATCCTGCCAGTGAGGAAGGCTATCTTCTTTTTCTCTTATTTGAGATACTGGGGTAGTGTGGACCGTAAACCACATTCATCGTACTGTACACTGTTTAGACAAAAAGAAGAAGTGTGTTTTGAGCTAAACCAAAGTGAGAGTGAGAGACTGTGTACCGGTACACTTCATTTGAGAGCACATGTTAAATAGTGCATCTTCAGCATAGAGGGAATACCTAGTTAAAAATCTTGTTAAAAGTTAATAATTTTCATAAAAAGAAAATTAGTGCTTTTATATTTTTCATTATTTAAACATAAATTGTGTTTACTTTGTAAAGTACAAATATATGCTTTCAACAGAAACAGAAAACTAAAACATAAATTAAAAAATATTAGGAATTAAATGGTTTTAAAAATACTAAAATACAATAACTAATAGTTTTGCATGACGAGCATTTATGTACATATATATCTGTGAATAGCATTCATTTGTGTCATGAATAGTTAGACATGATAGCACGCCAAGTTTGTACGTGTTGACGTACTTCCGGTACGTACATGGAAATGACGACACAATGGACGCCATCGAAGTACATGTTGCTGTTGCACATGGCTCACATGTATGGTTGAATTTTAGCTTAAAAAAAGTATTTGGTATTATAATATAACCATTATATAATATATTTAACTCCATAAAGCTTTTTTGTTTAATTGCAGGTTGAGTTTAACCTTGTGATCAAGGGCATGCCATCACCCGTTACGCCAAATACGTTTACTAGCGCTGCCCACGAAGTAAGGTTTTCATAGGGTTTAGCAACAAACAGACCATATCCAGGACAACATGCTTTTCATAGCAGTATAATAGCACTACAATGCGACACAATGTGATATGAATCATGTGTTTTTTGTTTGTTTTTCTTTTTTTGCATTCCAGGAACCAGAACCGATGGACTGGACTGCTTACGGTGAACAACCAGTTCCTGGCCGGTAACTTACACACTTTTCTACTTACATTCTCAGTTTGTGTTTATTACATTAAACACACAGTTTGTGTTTATTACATTAAACACAAACTGACAAACTTTATTACATTATTGTTGATCTATATTCAGTATCTGTTTGTGTACATGCTAGATGTATAACCCTCTCAAGGCAGGCATTGCAGATTTGCAACAGTTAAAAGTTAACAACCTGATTACCCCACATACATATTTTATGAGGTTTTTTTTTACTCAGAAGTACCACTGCAGGTATTCTTTTGTGCATTAGCAACGAAAACTTAATTTGAGCCTGAGAGGGATAACCTTTTTGTGGAACTGGTATAAACTAGTAGAAAAGTAGAAAACTAGTAAGCTTAAAATACTCTGCAGAATTAAGCAGAATTAACAGCTTACAATAAGCTTTGAATTCTGCTTTGTAGAATAGACTAGACATTAAATTTTTAATTTTAAGCAAGTTCCATTATGTACTGTTTAAAAATTAATTTACAACATACTGTTATTGCCACTGCTTAAATAAACAGGTGTTGTGGTTTATGCATTTGCCTTTATTTTCCATTCAGTGCCGCTGGACCATTTGTCTCCTCCATGGATGACGACATCACCCCAATGGAGATAGACTAAAAGGTTCAGCATACCAAAAGGTAAAACATTTTTTTAGATCAAGCAAAACTTCAGTTGTTTTTCTTGCAATGCCCTTTTTAAAATTCAGACTCAAAACAAATTCACCCGTAAACATACTTAAAGAACTTCATTATGACAGTTGTGGAATGTCGGATCCATGTTTTTGCATAAATATAACGGACAGTAACACCTTTTGCTTAGTTTCAACTTTGTAAACTAATGGATATGAAGTTAAGTCATAAAGATGTGACTGAAGTAGGCTTTGCAAATTTGGATTTGGAAGCTGTTAATGAGAATTCTTGACCAGAGTAGAAACTTTCAGGAGTGTCTAAATCCAAAATGTAATAACAAAGAAAAATCCTTTATCAACATTCACAACATGTGGAATATTTTTGTTGAGTCTAAAATCACTAGACAACTTAGTGAATGTGATGCTGTATGAGGGTTTACCCCAAGATATTTTTCCTAACCTCATGAACAAAAGGACCAGATTAGACTTTGCTGAAAAACATTTCAAGAAAGACTGCCCAGTGTTGAAATAACACTGTTTAGACAGATGAAACCAACATTTGTAAAAGCTTGTAAAAGAAAGATTAGATTGCAAAATTATAAATCCAGCTAGGTAAAGTACGTATTTGTACAATGACACAATCTCCACCAAAAAGTAATTGGTAATACATATCAGTCTAAATAAATTATTTTAGAATTATTTCAAGAAATCCTATAGCTACTTTTGGCCACTCCCTGATTCAACAGAGGGTACTCCATTTTTTATTTCACAGATTTTTATGCTGGATAGCCTTCCTGATGCAACCCCAAAGGAATTTCTGTCACGGGTTGCCGTGTGAATTTATCAAAGGACCCAAGATACGGATATGCAGTGAAATGAGAGGGCTTTATTGACACAAAACTCGAGTGATAACAAACAAAAGGAGAGTGTGGCGAGAAACCGAACTTAGACAAACTACACTGAGAAATCTAAAACCTAAACACCAAACCTGAACACGAGAGAAAGCAACTTGTAGGGAGAATTCACAGGATGACGGCAGGAGATTCACAGACACGAAAACGCCAAATAACACAGACGAACCAGCAACAAGGACGAGGTAACACACACTATAAATACACGCGCCAGGAATCAGGGGATGGGAAACAGGAGGGGAACACACCTGAAAGATATAACAGCTGACGAGGCAGGGGAAACGTAAATAGAACACACTGACATAAGACAGAGACCTTCTCAATAAAACAGGAACTTACACATGCAAGGACACGGACTAAGAAACATGGACTTAACACAGGAATACATGGGCAGAACCGAATAAACACTAAACAGAGGAAGAACATCTGCCCGAACACATGTTTTTTTTTTCCTTTTCTTTTTTTCAGAACTGCGCAGGCCCATATAAATGTTTTCTGGCAAAGTCTAATCTGGTCTACCTGTTCTTTATTGTAACAAGAGATTCCTTCCTTGTTATAAACTGTCTCTATTTTACTTCGTGAAGGTGTCGCATGATTGTAGATTTTGACAGTTATACATGTAACTCCTAAAGAGTGTTCTTCACTTAGTTCAATGTTGTGACATTGTTTTTCTTAACCACAGAAAATTCTGTGATCACCTACTTGTATTCTGTGGTCTTCCAGGCCTTTGGGTGTTACTGACTGGGTCAGTGCACATCTTTTTTTAAGAATGAACCAGACTGATTTGGAAACTCCTTTGGGTTGTGTATAAATGGCTTTAATTTCTACAAAAGTTAATGCAATACTTTTGCTGTGAATTAAAGCTATGGATGAATGGATGTATGGAATAAGGGATACTCCTGATTGTATTTGGTGGCTTTTCAAATATTTATGTATCTGACTATATATAAACAATGTATGATGTCTCTTTTTTCTGTTTTGTATTTCTCACAGTGAAAGAAGAGGATGACAATCATAACATTTCTACTTGGGCAATTACAGTTCCTGCAGATAATGAAATGTGAGGCAATGTTTGAACATGACTATCTCAAAAACTATTACAGATAAATGCCTGATGAACAACTTTTTACTGGTTCATTGTCATAAAAAAAACCTGGATTTCAAATTTGGTCTGGATACATCAAAAAGTTATGAAATTTAAGCAGCCTATTTCAGTACACACTAATAAAAAATACATTGGAACAATTAGAAGAAGACAGTGACAATTTCTGAATTATATGTAGTTGAATTTACTGCAAAATAAAGCAAATATCTGAAAAAATAATCACTGGGGAAACATGCATATATTTTACATCACATCTAAAATTGTTATAACAATGCGTGAAAAAAAATGGTGTGAAAGTGGGTCAACTGACCTTTTTATTAAAAGAAATGTTTTGATCAAATTTATCAGTAATCATTATAAATGTAATTGCTGTAGATTTTGAAAAAAAGTTTTAAAGCGGGTTGACGGACCTTTTTTCACAAGAATATATCTTGAAAAGTACTTGATATATGAAACTAAAATTACATAGTACATATTACATACATATAAAATTACATAGTACATATTACATATTTTGTACAAATTTTAAAGACATTACACAGTGTAAAGACATTACACAGATTTGGGACCAATCAGGAAAAATAATCTCTAACCCAGCTCAAATTAATTATGTTTTTTATGCTATTTTATAAACCCCTTTATAAATCTGAATCACAGTAGTAAAACTCAAATAAAATACTTTTCTTTTGGGAACTTAAGCTTACCAAGGGTATAGGCCAATGGTAATAAGAAATTAGATGATCCAATATATATGTCCAAACTGAACCATAATAAGTCTATTGCAAATTGGAGAATGTTCTAGAAATTTAAATAGATTATTATTTTTATTCTAATTTGAGTACAGTTTTTGAGATGTTCATTTTCAAGCATTGCCATATATAGCATCTGATATGCATTTTTTCCCCTTTTTTTGTGACAAGTATTCTATATGGTTTATTTTTTGGTATTGTAAAATTCAACTACATATCATTCAGAAATTAAATTGCTGTGAACAAACATTGGACTTTTTTTTTTCATATTTTAACTAGCCAAAACTTGATGGTAAAAAACAACAAGAGAAAATACAGACTTTTATCTTTAATGGAGTTTGAAATATTTATGTTCAAATACTGAACATTGATGTGTTCTTAAAGAAGACCTGAAAGTGGGTCAGTGGAAAGTTTTTCCAAAAAAATAAAACTGATATGATATTATTGATGCGAACCTAAAATTTCACAGTACTGATTATGTTCAAACACGACAAAATCTTTATGCAAATTAGAAATGGTCAAGCAGGAAATTTTCTTAACATTGGCTGATTTGAGATTGAATGACCACCTTAAAAAATATGTATTGGTCTATAGGCAAGATGACTTCTGTCAATGATAAAGGGATTTTGTAAATCCTTGTACTTTAAACAAAAATATCTAAAATATTGAAACATTTTAAAAGCGGTACAATAACAAAACCATACTTCTTTAAATCAATTTTTTTTTTAGCATTGCACAATTACAAACGTGCACTTCCACTTAACACAGAAAGTTTGTGACACACTTGTTTGAACTGTAATTTAAGGCAAAACTCAAAAACATAATTCTGTAATTCTAGTGTAACACCACAAGCATGTTAAGTTGTAACAGAAAAATTACTAAAATGTTTCATAGCAAAGTAGTAAAGCTCAATGACAGCAGTCCTTCAAAAGTATTCTTCAACTCAGGAGAGTATCCAGAGGAGCACAGTTAGCAGTTATTCCAGTGTTTACTGACTTGTGTAAGACCAAACAATAGTCCTGATGCCCTCTATTCATTGGCATCTGTGTTTTGTGTGTTCACCATTCTCAATATGGTCCCCCTAGTGGACTTGGGTTAGTGTAATGAACCTGTGTTTTACAATGTTCTCCTTTGCATCAACTGAAAACTGAGGAACATATAAGATTGTGGGCCAAAATGTCATTTAGCTGGCTGAGCTGAATGTCTCAGATTCTAGGGAAGTCACAATACCACTACAAATATCAGATTATATGGAAAGTATCAAAATTATGCATTTTTACCACAGAGAGAAATATCATTCAGCACATTTGTTTCTTATCTCCAAAAATAAACAGACATCCAACCTGCTGGTGAAATATGAAATATGTTTGTGTAATCCAGTTTTTTGTTTTTTTGAACAGGTGTAATTTATTTCAGGTGTCCATAATATCAAAATGTCAAGAATTAGATTGACATAAATTCAGTGAGAAGAATGAAGTCTTTTGGGGTATAGTCACTCTTTTGGGATCCTACGTAGATCAGTCAGAGCAAATACTTCATAATACTGACAAGTATGAAATGTTGATTAAGAAAGTGAGAAAAGAGAAGAAGATAACAAGGCATCCTAAATAAATGACAGTAAAACTGACTATAAGCTGACAATTACTAGCAGGATTTCTATTGTAATGAACATTTTTGTGTTACACTATCATTATTGGTCAGTGAGTGTCACTGTGTGTAACCTGTGGAAGATGCAGTGCCAGGAAAAAGTAAGCAGCTTCCTCTTATGAGTGTGTGAGAGGTTGCCCTTTCCAACATATTGCTACTGCCCCTGCCAAATGCATGCCAGTAGAAACCTAAAGAGGCCGAAATTGTAGTGTACAGTTGTCCCTCGCTATAACGTGGTTCACCTTTCGCGGCCTCGCTGTTTTGCGGATTTTAATTTTGTGCAATATTGCATTTTTTTTTTTTTACTGTGCATTGTGTTCTGCGTCCTAATTGGCTGTCGACCATTTCAATCAATGTCAAGTTACATAAATCTTCGATCGCTAGCAGTGTGACTCTGAAGTGCTGTACTGTATGTTTGTAAGTTTTCTCGGCAACAAACAGACAATGTCGACCAAATGTTGTCACCTGCGGGTGCCTTCGATTTCATTCTATAATACTGCACTGATTTTTCAACAAGGTTTGAACTTTGAGACGGCTTAAACAAGAGAGAAAAGTGCGAAAATGTTCATGCCTGTCTGAGAAAACTGTATAAAGTCTGTTATAAATTGAAAAATTAAGATAACAACACTTTCATCAGTGCACTTTAACTCTTTAATAAAATAGAAATATCCTGCTAACAGTTGCATAGAATAGAGCTCTATGAATCTCAGAATCCACTCTTACAGATTTCACTTGGTTGAGGTAAGAAGGTAGGGTTCACAAAGTGAAACATTAATGCAGGCAAGCTGCACCGCTTACCTGAAATTCATTATATTATTTGCTTTAAAAGGTGGTTTGCACAAACATATTGCTAAGAACAGTTAAAACAGTTAAGAATCCAATGACAAAAAAAACCTTTGTGTACAAACCCCTTTGTTTACAGCAGCTTAGAAACATACACATTTTAACATAGTTAGCACATTTAAAATCCCAACAGACACAGAGACAAGCACATTGTAGTCCATAATAAGACAAAGTAAGGACAAGCAAAAACACAAGTCAGTAGCTGCAGTAGTAATCCGCTGTGAGGCACATCTGTAGGAGCTGTTGATGCTGATGTCACTCTTTAATGATGTAACAGGTGGCGGTGTCCCCGACTTCGCCGAGGGGGGTGAGGAACCTGCAACAGAAGAGGTGTC